CACACACCTTTTTTTTTTGTGATGTGCAGGGCACAACACTAAATTGTACCAGTGTGCAGAACATTTCAAGGTTGACAGACTCCAACGCTGAAACACTTGTTTCAGTCTTATCAAGAAGTGACCAGGATACCTTTGTCTTTCATCTTTCTTTGTGACACTTTGTGACCAGCAAGTTGAAATCTAGAAGTTGCCAGTTAAATTTTCAGGGAATTCGGGGTGTCAATTCAGCTAGTGACCTGCTCTGCTCCTTCTGCAGATCTTTCTCCAATCTGCTTAGTGCACAGTGCTTTTTTTCAAAAGTTGGGTTGGGCCAACAGCTCTTGAATTTGGCTGTTGGGAGGGTTTGTCTGCTTTTGGCTGGATGGTCAAACTGCTCTTGTGAACATCTGCTGTTCTTGCCCTTGACCAATCTGTGATTGGCATAACCCGAGGAGTTTGGATCAACCCACCATTGGGGACAAAGGTCAAGTGATGCTTGCCTTCGGCCCACCACCCACTCGTCAAAGAGACCAGTGCTTTTCTTGGTGTGCTGATGGCCATGCTAGGTCAGGATGAAACTATATACAAAAATGCAAGATAATTCACTGACCAGAGAACTGGAAACCAAAATTAAAAAGGCCTACATTACACTATCTTTGGAATTCGAGCAGACTGCATTTTTATTTCCCACTGATGTTCAATTTCTGAAATTCTTGTCCCAAAGGAGCTTTTTCCAAATTCAACTGGACTTTCTTTGTTTTTCCTTGACGATGTTTCCCTTCTCATCCAAGTTGCTTCTTCAGTTGTTCAGAACCGAACAGGACTGAAGAAGCTTCTTGGCTGAGAAGAGAAACGCCTTCAAAGAAAAACGAAGGAAGTCCGGTTGCCTCTGGAAAAAGCACCTTTGGGGCAAGCGTGACCTGGATGATCGAGAATCTCCATAGACCTTCTGAAATTCTTCTTTCTTCTTGGGAAAGGCTTTGAATTCAGCTTTTAAATCGACTGTGTGCAATATAATTTCTGTAGATTTCCCACCTGCTGGGTTTTTCTTGTTTTCCCCCCCTCTCAAATGGCTTTGATTCAGTTAGAAGCAACTTTTGCAGGGTTTTTTTTTGCCTTGACATGCTGCTGTGATTGTATGAGCTGATTGTTTTCAGAGATTCTCCTGTTGTTATTTTTTTTTAGCTATTTTTTAAACTTATGCTACATTATATAAAGTATTTTTGGAGGGTGGGAAGGAAATGAATGTAAGAGATGCAGATATATATATTGAAAAGTGATGATGTTGTCATGCTGTAGTTAATTCAGTTCTTTTCAATGTTTCCTGAAGACCAAAAGAAATTGATTATTATAAAATGTATAAAATTTATACGGAATCTTTAGACTGTGCTTTTTTTTTTCCTGTACAGTATTTTTCAAGGACAAATGTTGATTGTGTATTTTGGGGGAAAGAATAAGATATATATCATATGTTTAAGCAAAGAGAGGGTTTTAAAAAAAAACAACTAGATGATTTCACTTTAAAGACGACAATATATCTCTTTATATATTCATGAATATTGAATACAGAAGAAATGCTTCTAGGGCTTTTTATTTTTAAATGATGATATTGTATGCTTGCCACTGGCACACTGAGGTAGTTTTGTGTTTTCAGTTAGAGAATGATCCATGTTGCTGGGCTCAGTCGCTTGCTTCTGGAAGGATCCCATTGGGTGCAATAGAAAGCTCTACCTCCCTCTTTTTCTTATAGCCTACCCCACTTTAGCAACTGCCCAGATGTGAGAAGAAGAGGCTCTGTACAGTTCCTGCCAGCCTCATGTAAATCCTCCATGCGAAAATGGCTGGGGTCTTATGGAGACGGGCGGGACACTAAATGTTTTCTGCGTGTAGTATTGTCTGCTGTAGTCTTTCAAAATTCTCTTGAGCAAATACGGCTCAACTGTCCTTTTTTAAAAAAATGCAGTTATTTGGTTGGACAAGGTTGGTGACATTTGTCACAGAGCTTCAGAGGCACAAATACATTGGGGATTGGGCAGCGTGAATAACGCTCATAGAGCTTACATTATCAATCCTCTTTGAGATTTCTATCCCAGAATGAGGATTTGTATCTATGGTGAAAGTTTGAAAGAAAGAAAGAAAAGTTCCTAAAGATGGTTCTTGCAGATTGGAGCAAGACATCAACTGAGGAGGCTGGAGTGTCTCCCAGACCCCTCCCGATAGACAGCTTAACAGAACTAAAACAGGAGGCCTGTTTTTCAACTGAGTACAGTGGAGAGCAGGCAAGCACTCTGCTTCGGGTACCTCCCAAATACTGGACTTCTAGTTGCATTAGACCAGGGGTAGGCAACCTTGGCTCTTTTATGACTCGTGGACTTCAACTCCCAGGATTCCTGAGCCAGCATAGCCAAGGTTGCCTATCCCTGCATTAGACTGTAGCATCCAAAATTCCCAGCCAGTCACAGCTCTCTCTGGTGATCAGCAGTGTAGCTCTGTGTACTTCTGCAGGTTTAGAAAGGGTGTTTGATTTGGGGGGACAATTTAGGAGCAGTAAGAATCATTTCACATGTTTAGAGATGAGGCCTGGTTAGTTGCTCAGTATCCCTTCCCTAACCTGGTATCCTGTTTGACACACTTGTCCAAACTGAATTCCACTTATGCCAATTTTGGTGCCCCGTTTTCTGTAAGGCAGTCATTTCTGCTTGTGGAACCATATAGCTTCTTGTTGTCTACCCTTACCCGTGTTGGATAACGCTGACCAACAAATTCAACAACATCTGGAGAACACAGATTCCCTGCTCTTGTCTTCATGCTTACTGCTTTCCTTCTGGCATCTTCTAGAGGTCCATTGTTTCAATTTTCTTGCCCAGTCTCTTTCTGTCCCTTGTTGAGTACAAGAATGAGCAAAGCCAAGTGACTTACTTGAGCCATACTGGGCTTTTATTATACTTAAAGAGGTGCTTTTTTTGAATTGGTGAATTACAGGAAAGGTAGGGGTTTTCTTTAGTGCATTAAAAACACTGCACGTCATAAAATTATGGTGCCATGTGTCTTTCTAGATCACTTTTCCTACCAAAACAAGTGCATTTCTGTTACATAAGATCACATTGTACTAAAAGTGATTTAAACAAAAGTTTTGGACAATCACAAAGAAATGGTGCCATTCTTGTGAGGATTTTCTGGAAAGATTAAAAATGTATCCCAGTATCCTAAATGCTTTAATAGATTTTTTGGGGGGCCATTATTTCAGCTGAGTAATCATCTTTAGGGGATAAACTATCCTTTATTGGCCAGTAAATGTTTCTTTCTAAATGTTTATGTGTGTGTAAAAGTAAATGTTAAGCTGATAATAATTTTCACTGAATGTAAAACAAGCCTAAAGGACATAATACTGGGAGAAGATAGGATTCCTCTAAGAAGTTGTGAACAGAGGCTGTATTCATTACCTCCAAATCCCAACAATTTTAATGATCTGACTCATAATTTTGTCTTGTCTGGAGGTGCCAGTATGGAAAGTCAAATTAACAAAGATGCTTTGCAGGTTAGGAAGTTTTATCTCAATGATGGATATGGAGGATATGGAGACATCAAAGAAATATAATTTCACTAATCTGGAAATTCTTTTGAAATGTAAAGATCTGAATACAGAGCTGTAAATATTAAAAACACCAGTTAACTTCATCATTGTAGGATCACTTAATTTCTAGACAGGACAGCTATATCAAGTCATAGAAGCCACTGTCAAATTATACAGTGGCTTCTGTGAATAATCCATAGTTACATACAATACAACATCTTGAGTACACAACAAAGCAATCAGATGTCCAAACTTGATCTGCCCTCAAAACACACTTTTGTTTACTTCCAATTTTGATCTCCAACTTGGCCTCCTAGTTTATTTGGTTTTACCCTATGAATCTGTAAAGGTAAGTGGTAAGCTTCTCTCAAAACAACAAACAGAGAGAAACTAGTTAAGGAAAAAACATAAATGAGGACAGGAGTAAGTCAGCTGTGACTCTTACATAGGGCAAATGAGGATGGATTCTCCAGAGATAGGCAGAATCTAGAG